GGGCTGGCTGGCATGTGGTGCTGGGGGATTGAACCGTGGGCCCTGTGCTTTGCTAAGCTTGTGCTAAGTAGGTGCTTTAGACCACTGAGCCATCTCACCAGTCCCTCCTTTTTGCTTTTGCAATCAAATTTATACTTGATATTCACATAGCATTTATGTTTTGGCATCTAAAAGTTATTTTGAATAGTGTTCAGCTGAGATTTTTTTCTTAAGCTTAAAGAGTGAACCAAATAATTTTCTCCTAAATCTTTAGAGCAGACACAGGTTTGCAGTTTGTTTTTAAAGTAGAAATTATGCCTTGTAGCTGGCCTGATAGCTCAGAAGACTAAAGTGCCTGCTTATGCAGAGTGCAGTGGGCAGGGTTTGATACTCTGTGCTCTGTGCTCTGTGCCAGCCCTGGCCCCGGGACATGCTGAGACATGGATAGAGACTGGGTATGGAGGCTGAAACAGGAGAATCACTGAGTCCAATCTACATAGTGAGACCCTGTAGACCCTGTACTAAATACTTAAAAAAAAAAAAAAGAAATTATGTCTTGTGTTTAATTTTTGTTTGATTGTTAGTAATGTGTATTTTTTTTTCTTTTTTTTAAGGGTTTAAAATCTGTAGATAGAAGCATTGAAAAGGAATTTGACATTTCTGTGACTGATCCCAACACCCCAATCCCCTTAAAATATAAAGATGAATCCACAACAGCGGGTCATGAGGAGCTAGAGAAGTGGGTGGCCTTGCTTTTGGACAATAGTAAGTTGAATTGATGTGCAAATAAGGCCCTCAGTGGAATAATATTCTGATCTTTTGTCAACAACAGACATGCCAATTAAGGCATTCATAGAAATGAATGAGAAGGAAGTCATGTGACTGCATAGAGGGGACACACTTAAAAAAAAATTCCGTTGAAATCTAAAACCAAGCAGCATGGTCTAATGTTTCCTAGGTATCTCTTGTGAGAGCATAAGGAGCCTGCATGCTTGCACTGCCCCCTCTAAGGAGCTGGTAGTGTAGCCTGGTTGAGCACTCCTAGGGAACTGCTGTGCTGGCAGAAGGTGGGGTGTTGGGGAGCGCAGACCTGGGAAGCAGCGTGCCCAGCTTTGATCCTGGCTGAGCAAGAGCAGGCTTTCCCACTTTTTTTTTTTTTTGGCGGAATCGGGGATTGAACTCAGATCCTTGCATTTGCCATTCAAACGCTTATCCTACTGAGCCATCTCCCAGCCCCTTTTTGCACTTTTTGAGCAGCCTTTTCTTTTTCTCATGCTGGGGACAGTAAGCGTGCCTACTTTCAAGGGTTGTTATGAATTGAATCGTTAATATTGATGAAGGGCTTAGAACTACGTACATTATAAGCACCATATAAAGGTTAGCTAGTTAGGGGCCAGGGAGATGGCTCAGTAGAATAAGTGCTTCCCTTGCAAGCGCAAAGGCCTGAGTTCAATCCTCAGTTCCGCCAAAAAGACAGAAAAAAAAACCCGAATAATTAAAAAGGTTAGCTGGTGCCTTATGGTTGAATAAGCTGGAAATAATCACTTTTTAGTTATCTAGCATGTTCCTTGGGACAAAGTATCACTTCATGCAAAACATATGGATTTTGAAGTAAGATTCCTGAACTACTTCTTTATTTTTAATCTAAGTCATATTTTCTTTGAACCTTATCTCTTGGCCCTAATCAGTTTCAATTGTTTTTAAAATGTTTGGAAAGCCAATGTATTCAAAATGGCTAATGCCAAGAGCTTCCTGGACCTTCCTTTTTTTTTCATGGCAGAGTTGGAGACAAGGGATGATTTCTTTTTCTACCATGTATGTAGTACCTCCTGTGTGCCAGGTTAGCCTGCATGCAGAGAGGCTCACTCTACGACTTTTGCTATTCTTTTTTCTGGAATTTGTTTTCTGTCTCTTCCTCCTTCTCCATCTCCCTTCTTAAAAGTCCTGCTCAGGCTCAGAATCTCCACACTCACCCTTCCACAGGCAGAATGACTTGATTTCATTACAGTGTTCTGTGAGCACTTTGCCACTTGCCTTGAGGCTAGCCACCTCTACTAAATGATGCTAAGGATACACACAGAGTTGTAAGGTGTTTTTCTCATTTGTGTTTGGTTTTCTTACAGTGCTCCAAACACAGTGCTCCTAAAAGCAGAGACAAAGAAATCCCTGCACAGATTAAGCCATCACATTGACCTGCTGCATTTTAGTACCTTGCAAGTCTTACGTGTGTACCCAAAATGGGAAACCTTAAGGCAGCCGCAGCGGGGCATGTTTCTGTTCTTATTTCCATGGCTTTGTGCTGTTATCTCTGTAATTACACTTGGTACAGTTTGGTGTGGTTTATCAAGGTAATGACCTCATAAGTTCATGTCACTGTGTTGGTTCCTGTTGCAATGTGTGGCACAGAAGCGACCATTTATGGAACAAAGGAGGGAAAAAGAGCTGCACTTGAAGTCATGTGTTGGTATAGAAGAAATGGTAACCTTCAGTGGGAGACAGAGAAAAGCGCATCCGTGCAGGCAGAGGAAGTAACCTTCCAGGACTGCTGGGCAGCAGTGCACTAGCAGGAAGCCTGAAGGTGCCTTACTTAGGCAGCGAGCTGTGTGCTGAGGCTGAGAGAGGAGTGAGCTGCGCTGAGGTTGGGGATGGCTGTGAGGCGAAGGCTGGGCTTTGGGAAGGTATGCCTTGTGGCAGGTTGGCTCAGACTGGGGAAAGGAGGCAGTTGTCATGGTCCTGAGCTCAGCTGTGGCAGTGACCCTGTAAGAGTGATAACGATGCCACTCTAGGAAAGTAGAAGGCCTTGGAGCTCTGTAGCAAGGGTCTTGTTGGACATTGGCACTTGACTGTGTTGTGCTTAGGCAGGAATGCATCGTATCCAGCAGTCTTGTCGTGGCAGTAGTGTCTGACCCTGTCCACTCCGATTAAGAAACAGGCAATACATCCTTTTTTTTTGTTTCCTGATAACATTCTAACAAAACCCTTTCTTTTTTCTGTTCTGTATCACAGTGGGCTCCCTTCAGAAGCGTAATTATTCCAGTCAGTCAGGCATGATCCCTGGGTCTTGGCAACATAAGATGAAACTTCAGCTGATTCTTAAGTCAGCGAAGGCCTATTATGTGCTGTCTGATGCTGCCATGAGTCTTCAGAAGTATGGACGGGCGCTGCGATACATTAAGCTGGCTCTGCAGAGCCATGGTAAGCCCCTGCAAGTGACTGTGTCCCGTAGCTTGGGGCAGGACAAGAGGCATCTCTGTCACAGGCAACTTCTATTCCTGTCTGTCATAACATGTGAGTTTTTAAAAAAGCTTCCAATGCTGTGTTCAATACTCAGTATTTTACCTTCTGCCCACACTGGTTGATAATGTCTTCATTTTGAAATATGTGAAGCCATTGTGTTACCCAACCCAGACTCATGTGATGGTACAGAGCTTTGAGCTAGTAACAGTCTTCTTATTTACTGTGATCATTAATTTGCAATGCTTTTGTGTTTTTTCTGCTTTTCCTCATTTTCCATGAAGATACTTACTGCTGGCTCTACACCAACATGTTTTCTGAACTGCTGTTTCTTTCCCATTGTTTAATGCTCTGCGGTGACATCCACCTGATGCTGGCCCAGAATGCAAATAACAGAGCAGCACACCTTGAAGAGTTTAACTATGAAACAGAAGACCTAGAGATACTACACAGTCTTCACAGAGAGACCAGTTTTCAGGGTATACCAGTCTGTATTTATTATGTCCAGAAAAGTGGCAGAAATACTAATCTTTGAATATTTGCTGTTTTGCTTTTGTTTGCTTGGGCTAGGGTCTTGCTCTTTAATTCAAGGTGGCCTCGAAGTCTTGGCCATCCTCTTGCCTCAGGCTCCCAAGCCCTGGGACTACAGGCATGCACCATCATACCTGGTTCATCTGCTCTGTCTTGCTTCATTTTTTTCTTTTTTTTTTTATGGTACCAGGGATGGAACTCAGGACCCTGTGCTTGTCAGGAAAGCGCTTATCATTTCTTCATTTTGAAATCAACCTTGGGCTGGGTGTGTGGCTAAGTGGCAGGACACTTGCCTGGTCTACATGAGGTCCCAGTACAATACACACAAAAAAGAATTAAGTTTATAATTACTAATTATAGCTTGCTAAGTAAAAAATAAGATGTAAAGATGGTTATTTTGCCTTTGATTGCTATTTATATTTCTAGACAATGCCAAGCCATTTGTTTTCTTTTCAAGAAGAATAGCTATAGCTACTTACCTTCTTAGTCCATGGAGCTGAGATAAAGGGTTCATCGTGTTTTAGAAGCTGGTCTGTAGCCAGCTGTCTTCTGTCACTTTGTTTAGTCTTCAGGATCCATAGCTGACCTACCCTCAGCCCAGTGCAGTCAGTGCCCTGCACTTACAGTAGCCAGCAAGGTCTAGTCTTCTTCAGGCTCTTCTGAAATGTACCAAGTACTTGTCTTATTGTGCTTGACATTGTTCATGGCCGTTCATACTTGCCTGCCAAACAGTTTTGGCCAGTTACCACGCAGATGCGTACATGAGAGCAGAGGAGAATGCAGATGCCTCAGTGGCTAATATGTTGCCGCTTCTTTCCTTCGTCCCTCAAGTAATCATTTCCATTTAACAGACACATCAGAAAGCCTTCAGAGTGTTTTTACCACTATCACAGTGATTTCATTTAAAATATTTTTAAGGTTGAACTCTTATGTATTTGAGTGTTAACAGTGGGAAGTATCCCTTTCTTCTCCTTGAGTACTGAGTCCTGTACCTTAGTCCAGTCCCACTAGATGGCATGTGTAAGTCTTTAAGGACTATCTAGAGGTTTTCTAAGGGACTAGATTTAAGACTGATGCTTTAACTCAGTTGCTGTAATTTAAAATGAAAGCTACTCACCATTATATCAGCAGAATTTAGAATACAAGTAAACACTGAAAAATCTGGGTAATAAGAAATGCTTGGAATTTATTGGCAGAAAAATATTCTAATCAAACATTAATATTCCAAGAAAATATAGTTTTCCTAATAAAGTGGTCCCAGGTAGATACAGTGAAATGAGCCTGGAATCCCAGTTCTAAGGGAGGATGAGCAGGAGAATTGCAGGCTTTAAGGCAGCCTAGGCTATATAGTGAGTTCAGGGCAAGCCTAGACTATATAGCAAGACCCTGTGTCAGAATCAAAAATGAGGCCAGGGACATAGCTTAGTGGCACAGTGCTTGTCTGGTAAGCACAAGGCCCTAAGTTTGATTTCCAGTACTAAAAACAAGTTAGGGATATAGCTCAAAGATAAGATACAGGAGAAGGGAATTGGTAGGCACAATGGCATCTTACTATGGAACTGAAATTTTATCATATTGTTTGACTCTTAGTATATTTATACTCTACAGTTTTTTTTTTTTTTTTTTTTTTTTTTTTTTTTTTTGCGGAACTGGGGATTGAACTCAAGCCCTTGCGCTTGCCAGGGAAGCGCTTATTCCACTGAGCCATCTCCCC